ATTTGTATAAAAAATGATCTTTCATCTATAAACAAGTCTAATTTTAAACCTTTTATTCGTCACGGTACACTTTTAATAATTTATAAGGTTTTTAATAATTAATATGATAAATTAAAAGAATTTCATTTGATTTATTGATTGGTGTACCTATAATATATTTTATAAAATTAGCATAGGGTAATAATTTTCACTGAAAAATAAAATGAAATTTGTATTACGAAGTAAACAAAATGTTTATTTAACGATAAATTAAAAATTACATTTAATGCGAAATTTGAATGATTTTATACATACAAGAAATTCGGGAAAATAAATTACCACAGCACGTTCTGCATCCTATAAAATGTTACTATCTCCTCTGTTCAAATGATCAAATAAACGTTTCGACTGAACGTAGTGTCAATTGATAAAGAAATGTAAAAAAAATAAATAATTTTCATTCCGGGAGGGGCCATTGCTTGGCAGTGGCGACACAGTGTTTGAGAATCACTGTTGTATGGTTTCGTAAGAGACATAATTTGGCATTCTGTTTTATGGACGAATACAAAGGATATGATTTTTCCGATAGAATCGTACGTTTTTAAATACACAAGGTATATCTTTAAATGGTGATTAGAAGACGTGATTCGTGTAGCATTGTACAACTGGCTGATCGATTGCTGTGCCAGCTAGTTAAATTATAGCGGATTTGGAAATATTTCAACAGCTTTAGTAATCTGATCAATCGACCCTGACATGTTGTCGGTAATTCCGACTCGAGATTAGATTTTCCGATTACTCTTGTTTGCAGTGTTCGCAGTGGAAACTCCATTTACAATTCCCGAAACGACGGCACGAGAACCCGCGCGACACGGCCCTTCAACGCAGTTAAAAATATCTCGACGATTTATTCTACTCAATATCAGCCCGGCTCGGACGCATTTCGAGCAAAACGACAAGGGGCACAGTTTATCAGGAAGAATAACGGAGAATGTTGTAAATAGACGGATCTCAGCGACCGACGCAGCTTCTATTTGCGAACGTTTCTCTCGATTGTCGAACAGCTTTCAGGAAATACATACTTGCCAGCGAGCTAGCACCGATGTAAATGCATCTCGAATTTTATTATCGACATTCACCGCTTGTTTACGTTTCTCCTCGGTTTCATCTCGTTTTCTTTTCCACGTGCCCTATTCCGACCGGCGAACGCAACCACCCACGTCCCGGCAAAAACCCAACGACGTTTATATCATGTTCTGTGCGCTGTTATTACGTACAAATAAAAGCGGACCGTGAACAAGTTTCATATTAGTGCTGCATTGTAATTGTAAATATTCTACGCTTTGGACATAAAATATGTTTCACGTGTGGAACTTAATTGTTTTATTTGATCCTTAGAGACTGTTATGCAACGAGGATTTAAAATTGGACCGCTCGCAGAGCATTTTGATATTTAAATTTTCCAACCTCTCTGGCTTCGTAGCTCCGGAAATGTTTGTATCGCATTTTTCAGAAGAACAGGACCACTTCGGCTGTCGTAAAATGCGAACGGAGCCGAGGAACTCCTTCGAGAAAGAGGACAAGGGAAATACCGGGACCCATTAAAATATGTGTTCGGCTCGGCGAAGGCGTGTGAATATTTCAATCGCGAAATCCTCGCGGCCTCGTGAGCTCGCGGGGTCTCGTGAAATTTTTACCGGTAGCTTCAGCCACGCAACGCAACGCCCCAATTGTTTTTCTATTGTTCCATTCTCCCGGGAAGATTATCCGTCGGCTCGTTCGCGCAGCCAGGAAGCGGATTAGGAACGGACAATTTCCGCGTACCAATCTTCTCTCTGATATTTACACTACCAGAATAGTTCCTCCTGGGAATCCCTTTCTAATACTATCCGTGACTCTCCCGCTAATTATTAATCAAGAAGAGAGCCACCAGGACACGAGAGAAGCGAGCATTCTCTTTTAAAAGTTAGCTGAAAGCGTTCCCGTTGTACATCCGTAAAGAAATCGAATGAGACACCCAGGCGACGAAACAAAGTGTGAGAACAGTCGTCCTATCGACAATGAGTACCTGACGCCTTTCCTACCATATTTTGCATAACTTATTACAATGGCAATGTTCTAATTGCACTCAAAGCGCCGTAGAGAGCAGTCAAGCAAAGGTAAGAGGAATTCTATAAAAATCGCAAAGGGTTCCTCGGCCCAGCTACACCGTCCGAGAACAAAAAAGTAGCTGGCGTTCGCTCAGCTTAAAGCTGGCTTTAAAGGCGATGTCCCACCGCGAAAATGAACCCTCAGTCGCGTAAACACAGGCCCGACCGGTTGACTGCGATCATCCCCATTGCTCTTTCTAATTCCGTGACCCTCTTTCTTTTTTGCGTTCGGCTTCTCTCCTTCTCCCGGCGCGGCGTCCCGGAATTCACCAAGCAGAATGAAGTCACCACCGGTGTAGCTCCTCCACGGCCGTTTTCCGCCATTTAACCCTTCGCCGGCGGGCGTTTCGCCTCGGGGCGCGCGACCGTTTCGAAGCGTTCTCGCGCGTGAAACACGGCAAATGGGACACTGGGAAAAAATGTTCCTCGCAGTTTCCCTTCTCTCTCTTTCTCTCCCTCTCTTTGCCTCGTGTTCATTTCTTCAGCTGCGTGGAATAACTTCCTCTTTGCATAATTAATTAAGGGAAATAAACTGTGAGTCCTTTTGGTCAGACGGAGAGGGATCATTTGATATTAGAAACGTTTTGGCTTTAAGGAGGATAAGCTTTTCCTTCCTGTCCCCTTTTCTCATCTTCCGTTTGGTTATCCTTGGCTGAACGCTCAGCTAAGAAAGTCGCCGGGGGTGGGTACCATCCGACTTAATTTTCTTTTTGCGGCCAGGTGAACGTCCCGTCTCCGTGTAATTGCGTCTTCGGTTTTTGTATAGAAATGAGTGTTTGATTTTTGTTACCTACGTGAATGACGTTCACGAGGAAATTGCATTTTCTACCGCGCGACCGTTCCACGAAAAATAGCTCTTATATTTAATTTTACACAAATTCCTCGACGGCTCCCTAACGAGCTATAATCATAATGGCACCGTACGTGATCCCGTGCAGGTTACTTAGACGGGCCGAATCGAGGGGAAATTTGCATCGAAATTGTGTCGCGGGATCAAGCCCCGCGGACTTGAAATCCCGAATATTCTCAGCATGACGACATTTCCGTCGACGGTTATAATATATTTCCATGTCGGCGGTGACGACGACTACGAGGACGTGTTATTAATTTCCCTTCGAGGAACGTTTCCTTCGGGCTGCTATTGCTGCGGCGCCGTTCCAGCGGGTTACAAAACAAAAAAAAAAAATTTGCATCGATATTGAGAGAGCGAGGCCGGCCTCCGGCCCGTTGCTGTAACGTCGGATTGACACCATTGAGTTTGACGACGTCTGACGGTGTTAACATCCTGTTTTTTTGTCGGGTCCGTATAACTGCTCGTGTCGATATTGTGACAACTTTTTTCGGATATTAATCCGCGTCGAAGGATCAATAATTATATTTTTAGGATAGATCAAGAAAATTCTTGACTATTTTAATGAACAACAATGCAACAATCTTAAAATAACAACGATAATGACACTATTTTAGACGTTTGAAGGTTGTATGAACCCTTAAATAAAAACAAGACCAACCTATTACCGATCACTAAATCACCATATTTATATATGTTTAACAAGTAGTTTATAACAGAAAAGATAAATATAAAATACCAAAATCAGAACACTAAAAATGTACGCTTCTCTATATAGTTAGAATTATTATCATACAGATATTCTTAAAGCGAGCAGACAAGTACGTTTTCTAATTATTAAGTAATTTCTTGCATAAATTGTTATTTCTTTGAAATTAGTAGAGTTACGTGTGTTCCATGTAAGAAGCTAGGAGCGACTAACTTAAACTCTTATAGAAAACAATGACAGAGCATTCAAATTTTTATAGTTATTAGTAGACTGCGGATTTTATGCAATTATAAGAATACTGAATGTGCAGAAATGATAAATGCCTTGTGTAATACATGAAACAGTTCAGAATATCAAAAATTGAAATGTTTAAATGGTCGATCAAATATTCATCTCAAACACAAACTCTTTTAAACTGATGTCACAAATATTTTATTTTGCATAAAAAGTGTAGTTATTAAATATTGCAGTGGTAAAACACTGTGCACAATCTTAGACAGGAATTGTGTCAGGCTACTAAAAAAGTTATTACATCCTGAACTCTTGTGTTGAATAGCAAAAGTGTTATCTCATTCATGAAAAAATATAGATGCAAAAACGAGAGAGTTTTGCGATTTTTTATAATCATTAATACATGTATTAAGAATATTGTAAAATTGAAATATCAATTTCGAGGGTACTATTTGAAATATACAATGAAAAGTAAGTAAAAATAGGACTTGTAGACAGTTGCATCTCAATCCTATGAGAAAGTGTCAAAACTATATATTAGAAATTATACGTGAAAAATTACTTTAAAAATAAACGTCGAACAATTTGTAAGCTTTACTTCTCTGTGAAGATAATTTTTCCTAATTTATCCCTTCAAATACTGTATACATTTTATCACAATTCTTAAACTTTTGACAGAGATCTCACGGCTTATACAACTTCAGTATTAATACTTTAATAAGCAATGAAATTGTGTTCTACTAAATATCACTTTAAACACGATGTTTCAAGGCTCGTTCGAAGTTTAGCAGGAAGTAGATGTCCAAAGGAAATGAAGCGAGTATAAATATGATAACGTCTGACGATGTTAACGTCTTGTTCTTTCGTGTACCTGGTTGTGGCGATACAGAGTCGATTCTTTCAGTACGATATTAACCGCGAAAGATCAATAATTATATTTTTAAGACCAAAATAGTCAAGAAAGTTTTCATCCATATCAATGAACATCTAAAAATATCGACTCGTCCAAACTATTTCAGACGTTCCAATATTAAAAAAATGAAATTGTATTGTGTCAAATAAAACTTTAAACTCGCTGTTACAGGGGCACATTCGAAGTTTAGCAGGAAATAGATGTCCGAAGCAAATGGAGTCTGTATAAATATTTTTGTTCACCTCGGGCGAAGCGGTCTTGATTTTATTTTGCCAAGTAAGGAACGCGTCCCCTTGAGTTCCTCTCGGCTAATGGGGAAAGTAAGAAGTGACCGTGGAGTTCGACCGAAGTTTCGTTCGGTTCGTTCTGTAACTCCTTGATAAACTTCCCTTTGGACTTGGCCCGACCTGCAAGAATTTCAAACACCGATTATCTCGATCATAGAGACAAGACACGAATTCGAATACCGCGTTGAGTAGTAATCTCGCGATCGATAGGTGGTGTCTAGAAAACTAATTTAAAAACGAAATCTTGTAAACCGCCAGGAAGGAAAATACAACAACGGGGAATCATAATATTTCGACGCGCCGTCGAGGGTTGTAAAGGCGTAGATAGCCACGAGGGCGAGGTGTGGGTATCTCCGGTGAAAATCAAAATTTCCCGAGGCGTGGCTTAATCCGGTGCTCGTCAGGTTCCTCCGTGGCACGAAGGAAGTATCACTTTACAACGTGCTTACCGTGACACGGGCCGAGAGCGAGTCGAACCGCACCTACGGTTAACTCCGTGAAAGGGGATGACGTCGCAGGGGATGAGGGTCGAAATTCGTTTCTTTTGACGAGGCGAACAGGATCGTAAACATCGGGAGGGAACGAATCCGACGAAGGATCCGCTGGCGTATCATTCGACAGCTGGGTTCTTCTTGGGCTTTGTGTGAGGAACGGAGCACAGATGCGGGCGCGAAAGCGAACGTCGATGCTTGATTGGAGCGAGGCAGGGGTAGAAGAGGAACAAGAAGAGGCAAGAGAAGACGGTTGAATATTTAAGCTGGATCTTTTCTAAGACGCGAATTTTACGAGACATTGAAGTCGAGTTTCCGCGAACTGCTACGAGAAATGAAGGAAAGATAGCCAAATGGATCTGTATATTTCAGTACGTTGCGATTTACTACGTTTACGGACTTCAAGTTCTTTCAACTCTTCTTTTAGAAGATACTTTCAGGCTGTCGTAAGGAAAGATGAGATAACATTGTTTTGCAGGAACTGTAAATACTGTGTACGTATAATCGAAATATAGACGTTGGTACGAATGAATTTCAGTTTGGAAATATCAGTTTCGTAATTTACTACGTACCTATGAAAGTTTCCATTCTTATAACGATGTATCAAATTTGTAGCAACCTTATACAGTTTCTTAACTAAAAGAAGCCACCTAAATATCCTTCCTGTTTTTATGTTATGAAAAAGTTTTATAGCATGATTTAAATGGTTTCGAATAAAGAATATCTTGTATTAAAAATGTTTTTAGACTCAGAGACAAATGTATATAGTAAATGTTACAATTTCTACTCGCTGGCTTACGATTATATATAAAATCATAGAAAAAAATATATACTGATAAAAATATACTAATAAATATTATGTAGTACATCTATTAGACTTCTTTTTACATTTTTTCTTAGATATTTCTTCTTGCCTTACATATGTGCAACAGTCTACATAGGTAAATCGACGAAATAGAGAAAATCCTATTTACTGTTATCCACTTCTAGACTATTTGCGAATTGCTGCGGAGTGAAATTAAGAAAGGATCGTTCCGGAGAACAGTTTCGTTCTCGAGCAAGCGTGCGAGGAAGAAAACGAGGAGAAGGTAGCCGTAACGAGCAAGAAAATCGAATGAAAACGGCACGGCAGACAGGGAAATTTCGGTGCTGCAATTAGGCGGCTCGCTACCGATTGTTTCTGAACGAGCTACAATCTGTAAAGGAGACACAATCCCTGGCGAGGCTTCTCGTGAGCCAGGGCTTGATTATCGTGGACAGCGTGAGGAGGCTAGCAAAGGACGCACCCAGGGATCGTCGCTGGTCCTACAGGAGCCACGGCAAATTGCTATGCGGCTGGCGGCTTCCGAGTGATTGGCAGTGGCCACCAGTCGCATCCATAATCGCAGGCCTCGACACAACCAGCTCATCTACTTTACATTTCGCCTCTTGTTTTATTTATCCCCGCAACTGCATGCACTTATGATTCTACGAAACTAAACCGAAATGCAAAACGTTCGGCAGGAATTGTCCTGTTTTATTGCGGCCCATTTCGAATTGAAGATCAATAGGAAATTGGAAATTGAGTGTCTGTTAGACTTAGGAATTCATCGGTACGGGCAGTATAGCGTGTTGATCTTTACGGAAGGATTTGCGGGCACCGTTCAAGAAGTTGTACGCCGGTATTGATTCTGGCTCGATTCTATGCGCGGTTTGCTCTAACGCTTCTGCTAAGTCCTTTCAAGCCAGCCGATGAATCTTCCGGCGTTATCCTTGAACCTTGCCGCGGTACCGTCTTCGCCTGAATTGATCGTCCCTGGGGCTGTTTGCTAAAAGCGCGCAACCATGAACCGGAGATCAAAACACAGCTATCCGAATTTACCTTAAATACCCGGGATCACGAAAAATCGAAACTGGTAACCGCGGTTCTCGTATAATTAAAGTAAATACGGTTCATGCAATTATGCTAAATAGAATTTCAATTTCTAGATGTTTCCCGACGTTAACACTAAATCTACCATAGGAGGGCAAAACGATTTGTTTGGAATTTCTTATAATCATAATTACGTTTGTATGACTTTTTCTAAAATATGCAAATAACTAATT